AGTCTGGCCGATTTCTACGATTTATTCACCCCGCAAAGAAGTCTGGCCCTGGAGCTTCTCTGGCCGGCTACCTTCTCTGGCCAATTAATACCCTTTTTAGGCCGATTTCTACGATTTATTCACCCCCCAAAGAAGTCTGGTGGAGACTAGGTTTGACACCGGCTGCTATGGTATGGCGTTCAGCAGCGCGTCCCTGTTGTCCGCCACCCACTGGTCCAGGCTCCCCATGTAACCCAACACTAGTTACCATGGTGACAGACGTCTGCCTCAGGTCATTGACCTTATTTGTTTGGAGAAGAAGAAGACGAGGAAGAAACAGAGCAAGAACAATCAATATGTTTTCGTTCGGTAAAAATAATTTGATATGTCGGTCCCACTTACCTTACTCGGTTTGAACACCCTCGGTGCCAGGTGTTTGGAGAGGATGTCTGCGTGTTGCTGGATGGTGAGTTTGTCTGCGCTGAAGCCGACAGTCCGGCCCAGCCACTCGGCCCTGTTCTCGAAGATCGCTCCGACGGCAAACCCCGCGTCGGCAACGCTGATGCCGTGCTTGGCAGCGCCCTCCAGCGGATAGGCTGAAGAAGTCAGAAGGCAAGACAAGTTAAGAGTCGATCGCTGCGCCGTCTTGACCAAGTGGTGACACGATATAACCAAATCCACGTGGCTTTTTTACTCAACAAACATACACTTCCAATGTGCATGATATCTTAGTATTGTGGAAGATAACATGATCTAACATGGTAGGCTCTTTCTAACACAAAACTTCAGGACGGCAATGAGGAATTATACACCTGTATACTAGCTCTTTTTAATATGCAATATCTAACTATAGAAAGGATGAAGATTCGGAAAAAAGGTACCTATTTCGTAAGTATCATCTTCCAGTTTTTGAACCAGGCGGAGGGAGATGTAGTTCTCGTAGTAGCCGGGATACTTGACGATGGTAAGTGGAAGGCCGATAGACTTCATGTAGTCTTCGATCTGTGCTTTAGAGTCGTAGTGCAGACAGGGGAACCCCATGATTTTTTGGACGTCTTCCAGGCTACTGAACACCACGTGTTGTACACCTGCAGCTTTGGCCGCATCCGCCACACCCTTGGAGTAGATTACAACATGTCGTGATGAATATTGTAATTTACTTTATGTTCACGGTAGCAAAATTTCACGGTCTGAGAAAAATGGACATGTTCAGAAAACTATACATTCACGGTGGTGATAGGTGCAGGTATTATTTGTTAACAGTAAACTGTAATGATAAGTTCACGGTACAGAAGTGACAGTGAAAGCAGTGAATTTAACAGTACAGTGAAAAAAATTAGGAATTACAGTAGTCTCATTCAGTTGTATTAAATTTCGTATCGCTAGCTATAGGAATAACTAAGTTTACAGGAAGATAGTTCTGCATCCCCCCTTTTTATGAAGTGAAATAGACAGCACATATATAACATTACGAAAATAAAACCTCGTAGGTTTTGTGTTAAAATTGTGGGGTGTATTGGTTTATGGCGGCAAACACATCATCTAAAGTTTACATACGTCGATGAAGGTGAGACATCCAGGTAATACAATACGCCAAAAAGCAGTTACTCAAGCAACTCGATATGATGTTGGAAGTTTACATGGTTGTAGAGACGTTTCAACTTTTAAGCAACAGCACGAAATGTTGAGAACAGCATCCTAGTTTTGCCGGAACTGTTACCTGCTTGATCTCCAGTTGATCAAAGTTTGGGTCTTCAAAGGAATGCTGAGTCATCACGAACGTTCCGTAGGTCCCCTGGACAGAAAGAAGACAAGAATTCGGAGATCTCATACCTCCATGAAATATGTGAGTTTTTCTAAATGTTTTTACACAGTACACTACAGTACAGAACAAAATAACACAGGTTTTCGGTTTAAAACCCACAGTAGCACCTTTGGCCTGAATATGGTCATGTAGGCTATTCCAGAGGGAGAACCTCATTAATCAAACCGGGCAGGCGCTGCCTCCACCCCGCACATCTGTTTTCCCTGCCACCCCGCACATCTGTTTTCCCGGAAGTTCTGCTGCAGTACAAAGGTCAGCCACCAGGAGGCCCATATTTGACCTTGACCTTTGGCTTCCTAAGACCTACCAGCATACCAAATATCATCACAATCCATAAAGGCGTTCTGAAGTTATGCTGACTACAAATGTGCGGAAAGTTTAAACTGTAATTTCCAACACAAGAAATTGTACAATCGAAAATTTGGGTGAGTCCAATTTCCTGTGTTGGAGATTACAGTTTAAACTTGCTGCATAATGCGGAATGATATTAAGGTTCAGTCAGGTTGCAGTCTTACTTACCTGCAGTGCCCGCTCCAGAGAGCTGGCATCGTCAAAATTGCCCTCGATGACCCCTGCACCTCTCTCCTGCAGTGCCTTAGCTTTGTCGGTAGAGGCGCTTCTCGTCACTATTCTGACGTTGAACTTTGGATCCTCCAGCAGGGCATTGGCCACCCCACCTCCCTGGCTCCCTGTAAAGCCCAGAAGATGTGGGGTTCGCATGACACATGGGTTTGATTGAATCAGCGTAGGATCTTACGTGACAGCCCACGCTAAACCCTATCTACAGACATGAACATGGAACAACACATCTGCTCGGGAATTACATAATCATGAGCTATGGTTTGAAAACTCACCTGTTGCTCCGAAAACAGTGACAACTTCAGCCATGTTCCTGAACTTTCAACCCTGACTCGTGACTCCAAATTCCGTCTCCCGCTTTACTTTAGGCTATACCGACTTAATTTTATGGATGACATCCTCTGAAGACCCTAAAATTAGTGCGCGCGAGCGAATAAAAAATATTATGGCCAAAAATAAAAATGCCACTACACCACAGGAATACAGAGCTGACATTGTGGATTTGCTGCAGTACGTACACGACAAGCCGGAAAATGCTGGCTTTTGCGAAATGTATGAATCGGCACTGTACGTATGTACTGAGGTCTTGAGTCATAAAGCTTCGGTAGCCTGGGTGCCATCCTCCAGAGTTACCACAAGTTCCATAGTATAGAAACTTTATTTGCAAAATCATGCCCGAAGGCTAATTGCTTGTACAATCAAGTATAATACTCATTGCATTACAGTAACAGGAGACAGGTAACAATCTGTCTGGAAAAAAAACTTCTACTTCTACTACGCTAGCTATTACGGGGTTCGACGTCTTCTTTGAAGGCAGTGGATAATGAATAGTCCCACATTCTGCATAATTAGTGGGTTTTGTGATCTTAGTAGAAACGTAGTATTTTCGCTAACTACCATGGAGTACCCAGGTCTAGAGCCAGGCCAGACTTTTTTTTTAGAAAAGGCGAAAATCAATGCGCGCGCCGATGTCATCCTTAAAATTAAGACGGTGTGGCCTTATACAGAAAAGTGGCACTGGCCGTTGAGTGAAGCCAAAGTGTCGTCTGGTGAATACTATGGTACTGCCCAAACATTTGCCGAAAACAGCGCCCGTCCTCTGATTACCAAGTAAACCAGCTACACAAACTTAGAAGTACACCTCTTCGCACAAACAAAATGTTGACCAAATTAATCTTTTTTTTTAATAATCAATTTGGTCTAGACTACAAAAGAATCGATGTACTCCTTTTTATTGTACGGAACACCCTGAAAGGGTTTGCCACAGATTTACAGACGCACCGTCACCCGTGTTAGGCCCCCCTTCGTTATTTAATTTTTGACTGTTATTAAAAAAAGTGACCGTTGCATGAAATTCTGCTTACTGTATTATAATCAAAATGTCACGACAGTGTCGCAAAATATAATAACATGTGATGAAAGGGAAGATTCAGAACAGGGTGACTACTACTGTTTAGCTGAAATTTATTGCTGTTTTTATGACGAATAGAAGACTTGTTTGTTGTAACACTACGTTATTTTATTCAATTTGTGTCCTAACATTTGTATTTCTAGATTTCTAGATTTCTATCAACTGATTCCAGATGGGGTTCCCAGCTGTCCTGGTTGAATCCAAGCAGAGGTTGGTGGGGGGGTATCGTTATATTTCTAACACAAAAGGTCCACTGCAGCAACGTAGGGACCCTCCACGAGACCCGTTTTTGAACTTGACCTTGTCCTCTACAACGGTAACTTGCCTACCAAAAATCATTGGCATTCATTTAAATATACTCGAGTTATTTTGCTAACAAGCGACAAACACAAAAGGTCCACTGCAGTAACGTGGGGACCCCCCACGAAGCCCAAACTTGCACATGACTTTGGCCTCAACAACGGTAATCTGCCTGCTAAAAATCATTGACGTCGAATTATGCCTTCAAGAGTTATTCCGCAGTCACCCACAATACGGCGGGACGATTCCATAGTCTTTCTGACGAAGACAACTACAAATTTGTCCTTCACGGTTACAGTGCATAGCTAGCAGGATTCACATCAATTCTCATTAATCAAATTTTCATACACGTCTCAATCCTTAAATAAGGCAGTTAAAATATGAATATTCCACCTATCTTGTGCAAACACAGCCATAATCGCCTGCCTTGTTGCTAGGATACGGGGATAACCGCCCTTCTAGCTGGGACGGTCCTTAATCCGAAATACCAATTGCTGGATTAAGGTTCTACATTAAACCGTTTTCGACGATATTTTAGGAATCATTGACTCGGATTACAAGTGGATAAAGACGCCGTTCTATATTTTATAAGCGAGGAAAATTGACTCGATAAGAGTGATCCTCTAGCAAATTGCCGTCTGGTCGTAGCCTCAACCAGGCCTTCCTGTGGGGGTACGGATCGTAAAATTCGGGAAAAATGACAGATAATAATTGGACAGGAGAGTCAGTCCGCGGGAGGGTTAATTTTTTTGCGCGGGCAAATGATCTACGGTGACTGAATTTCTCTGGCTATTTGTTCTTCCTTTTTGTCTAAATTTCACTGTTTTTGACTGTGTTATAGTTTTTATCGGGCTTTGTTTCTGTACTAGTATCTGTTTTTTTTTACTCCAATCTGGGTTTATTGCGTCGGGTGGCAAATTGTAACTGTCTAATAGATACAGATCTTTGCAGCCACCAAAAGATCTGATTGGAGATTAGTTGTGTTAGTCTGGTGGAGACCAACTAGTGTGTCCGGGGAACTCCTGCGTTTAGGACACAACGGTTTGGGCTGGCCTCCATAGCATGTCAAAAACTGGGATTTTGGGGGTCTTCATGGTCTTTGGGAGCTTTTATGTGCTATTTTCTGATTGCATATAGACAACATAGCCGGCCTGGTTGAATTACCCCCGTTTTGTAGAACTGTGCTAATCAGAAAAGAGCCGAAGACCACCAAACCCCAAGTTCTATAAGCCTGCTACGGAGGCTAGGTTTGGGCAGGATCGAGCGAAATGGTGAGAGGAAGAGGACTGCTTCTCTGGTGAAGGGAGACATTTTCAAGGTACCTCGCCAATACACTATATGTATATGCGTGATGTGAGTGAAATATATATAATCATATACCATGGAAAAGTATCTAGAACTAGATTATCTTGATTTGCACTATGAAAAATTAGAATCAGTGCCCACCCCATTGTAAAATAGAGAGAGGGTGGTACTCGTACGATAACTTACCTTTGTGCGAAAGAAGTTGTCAAACAAAGTGGAAAACGAAACAATTTTTGTTTTAAAATTTTCCTTCTACGGTCACGGGAGAAAGTACCATCCTAATTTCTTGACATTAACAGACAAAAAGAAAATCTCTCTCCACTTAACATCACAAAACGTACTTTTACAAAATTATTTTGCAGAATATCAAAAAGTGGGATCATTCGTCTTCTACTGTCTCAGAAAAAAATGAGTCGAACCCAATAAGTTATAATATATTGATTGTCAAAATTAAGACTAGAGTTGTCACATGTTAGCCTGGTTACCAAACCTATTATAGCTCCCGAGTCCTACATCCTATTTGCGGAGAGGATGTAGGACTCGGGAGCAATAATAGGTTTGGTAACCAGGCTACGTCACATGCTATGCTGTTATCCATTGTCCGTCCCTTTATTTCCATGTAATACGTATATTAGGCCACACCAAGTAAATTTTATGGATGACGTCCGCGCGCGCATTGATTTTGACCTGTTCCTAGAAAAAAAACACAAGAAATTCCGCTTCCTGTAAATATGACCAAAGAGTCACGACAGTGCCGCAAGTCGTCAGATTGACGTGAAATCCGTAATGCGAAGAAAGTGTCTATTACCATCCTGTTTTCACTGTCCACTGTTCCACCTGATTTATTGCTGTTTTGACCATGAATAAAAGACTTCTTGCTTGTTACACTGTGCCACCTCATTCAATTTGTGTCCTAACATTTGTCGTCTCTTTAATATATTTCTAATCTAGGCATCTTGTTTTTAGGGCCCTTCTTGTTTTTTTTCGCCCTCTCGCATTAGATTTAGGGTCTCCAAAGGACGTCATCCATAAAATTTACTTGGTGTGGCCTTATTGATATATTGTTGATTTTTCGTTAATCGAAACAGCCCGGCCGGGCCCAGGTTTGGAAACGTGACCTCAGCATGTAAGCGCACGTAAGATCCACCCACCAATGACAACCCGGCGCAGTTAATGTCATCAATAATTTGCACAGGGAGATCAAGTCTAAGGCGGTCGGCGCCGGTTCTAGGCGGTTGAACAGAGAGGGTGGGGGGCACAGTCGAGTGGATGATCCCTCTCCGAGACCTCAACCAAATATTTGAATAATTTAGACGGAAGTGCAGCCATGGGTGACATTAGAGTGACTTTGCTGTTATAATTTGTAGACTTTTATATGACATGACACGGTGGTTTGTAGTATAAACTTCATTTAAAGTTGGAAAAGTACGGCCGACTTTTTCTCCTAGTTTCAGAGTTTCAGGAGGGCTATGCAGGTACGCCGCCTTGCGGTCTTACTCTATCATTGACGTTGACAAAAGTACGTCGGTGGTGCCATTTCTAAAAGCAAAATCGACAACCTATACTAATTTGATACAAGGCAGGGTAGGAAAAATTTATTTGCCCCTTTGATGGTTTACCTCAAGTTCATACGCTACGACAGGTGTGTGTGGCAAACTTTCAAACTTTGTATGTTGGTGATAGTCCTATATGCTAGTAGTACATTGTATATGACATCATGCAAGGGCGCCCTCCAGCAGAAAGTGTAAGTACTGCAGGCCGTAGAGCTGCGATGTCTCATCCTTGTGTATTGTGCGAAAAGAAAAGAAGTTCTGGTGGTTGCAATGACGATCATACGTTGCAGTAAACAATGTAGGGACAAGTACTTCAGAGGCAAATATTCTGCTAAAGCAAGATTTGTGCATTTTGCAAATATACAAATAATCTCGTCATCAGGACAACTGTACATATCAAAAATGAGATAAACTGATGATAAAGGCATTTCAATTAATCGTCCCCCAGAGACTTGGAAATTCTGTATGACTTGCTTGATTGACAACTGACTTGAACTGACTGACAAAAATTATTCAACCTCCTTGATTCCAGAAATTTGACTTAGAAAACACAGTTTTGCCACTCAAAATATTGCATTGGGTGCATTTAAGAAGAAAATTCCCCTGTCAGTACGCACTCTCAGACCACCGGGCATGATCTTTTTAACTAGAGTCTAGAGGACGGTAAGTGTTGTTTGGATACAAGGCCACGGTCGAACAAAAAAAGACGCGGTCGCGTACAAGGTGGTCTACCGCCCGGCAGCTCGTCAATGGTTGCCTCGGT